GATCAATCAATATACGACGGGATTCTATAGAAGAAACGTTCTACCAACTCAGATCGAATACATCCGGCTCGCCGAACAGCTTGCGATAACTGGAATATCCTTGTTGGAGTAAACGTCTATCAACACCATCAACCACGGTCTGTCGAATAACATCAGACAAACACCTTTCCAAATAAATGCCTTGGAAGAAAGCAGCACTAGGACCATAACCAATGTCCCACGAAGGAGTGCGTTCACACTCATGTAGGAAAGAGAGAACCGACCGAGTATCTTTAAAACCTTTGAATAATCCTCCAGGTGGCAATGCCGCCTTCTCAGCTCTCTTTACCGAGTTATCATAGATCTTCTGCAGTTCACTCGGAGACAACCCATTCAATAAGTCGTCAGCATCTCCAGAACCTCTTGCCTCTATGAGACCAGCCTTATCTCTTGGAGGCACAACAATCGACGACTTTAGCGGAGCTTCCTCTGCTATTGATGATAAAGTAACATCAGGCCCGTCAACAACATCGGATTGAGCTTGTTGGGTAACTGTGACCACACCTGGGTCACTCTGAGCAGTACCAACTGGCCTTACAGTCGCTCTGAGTTGTCGACCATTTGATCTCCGAGAAGGGGAGAAAATGCTTCTAAGGAAAGAGAAACACGATACATGGGCAGTTCTACTAGTTGGCAGAGATGGCGACGTACCAGTGACAGGCAGATTAAGAGACATTGCTGATAACCGCTCTGCCAAACGACGGATCTCCTCATCATCAACCGAGTTACCATGGCTTCTAGCAGCAGTAGACATCACAATTCTCAATCAAAGTGAATCTCGACGAACCGATAGTAGTCAACAGTTGAAATATATCCCGGTAGAATGTGCCAGTAATTGAGTATCAGACCTTGGATTGCTTAACACAATAACCCAATTACCAGTAAGTGGTAATTAATAGATAACAACAGGAATGAAATCTACGAACTTATGTATTACAGCTGATTAGGACTAGCGACAAAGGAGACAAGCTAAGAATCTCACCACAATTACACAGAGCAACCTGCTGTGACACAACACTTAGCCAAACCGGCACACCTCTAACTTAAAAACTGCTCTTCAAGGCATACCTCAAAAGTTAGAATTCTTAACCCTTATCATTTAAGGAGCGTTTCCTTATAAGTATTCATTTCTGAGGAGCGGTACCGAATTCCTATTTCTAAGGTGCCCTTAAGGAGCTTAGGGACTTGCTCCTAACCGAGAAAGCGGAGCGATGCGACGTTCGCTAGAATCACGAACCTATCCTGACGACATACGATTTACAACTTGTCAACAAATTTGGAAGCTACACCCTTCCACGAGAACCATTTTGCAGCTCAGGGAGGTATGCTCTTATGCTCCGCATAATATAACCTCCAAGTTTCAGGGCCTAACTCTTCGTGGAAGTCGAAAAGCGGTGAAAACAATTTCTCCACATATGGTTCTCGTTGAGCTGTCTGTCCACGAGTCGAGAAACCGAATATGCTAAGAATATGTCGAGGGACGTACTAATTGTTATCTATATTGTATTATACCATTAAATAATATAAATATATATACCCACACTGCAGACCCTGAGTCGACGCCATTCAAGTTCTTCTTCATCCTCGGTTGAGTTCTCTAGTGCTTGAGAGACTCCTTAGGATCCCCGTTAAACGAGCTCAGCGACAACACTGATAGCTCAACAACCGTTAAACTTACACTGAGCTTGCCGAGGGCATGATCTTCTGAGAAGATTCTTCTCAGCACTGGGCGAGCTGAGATTGAACTACTGATGTAGATGGGTATCGCATAATTTCAATTCGGTTTAGGCCAAAATTGATATATGAATGTTACTTTATCCATTGCAGGTCCGAATTTCAGGTACAACTACAAGTACATGTAAAAGTGTTTCTGTATTCCACTGCCAGCGATATCAAAAGTCAGTAGGATATCGTGGGTGTTTTCTACGAAGATTTACCAGGAGCGAGGATCGAACTCGCGACCTTCTGCGTGTAAGGCAGACGTCATAACCGCTAGACTATCCCGGCCGTGAATCAGACTCCATCTATTTTCAAGATGTTCAATAGAATTGAATCAGTAAAAAATCCCAAGTGCTCTCCAAGTTCCTATATTGTGACCGACACATGGGGTTAACCATGTGCATATTCTCCCATACTACAGCTATGCATATTTAGATTATCGAGATGACTTTCTTCAATTCGAGAGTAATACGAATATAGACTACGGAACGCTTCTAAAACGTTGGTGTCAATCGATTCACATTGTTATCATGTTAATATTACTCAAAGTTGACTTTTGAAGGTGTTGGAAGTACAGTATTACAACGGTTTGGTTGTTCACACTGTAGTATTAGATCTTTACTATGCTCAAAAATACCGGTAGAAACAACACAAGCAACTCTGAGATCACAAATCATTCTCAAATATAGTGGCCTGTATCGATACCAACTGAGCTCAAACTCGTAATCGGCTGAGGTTTAATCACCGAAGCTTCCACGTCAGCCTTTCTCTGTTTCACCTGACACATATACACACAACTCACCGATTCCCATCAAAACCATGTCTAACATTTTCAGGTCAAATCAATTCAGTCAAGCTAGTCATGTAAAATATAATAAAGTTTCGCCCGTTTTACGTGAAATATGTTTTCCACTAGTGTTTCGCATATCACGGGTGAAACTCCAATACATTAACATAAAATTATATCAATATTGTGTTATAAATCATTCATTTATTGGAGTTCCACCCGTTTTACGTGTAATACTCGGTGAAAAACGTGATATTTGCAGCGCTATGCAGAAGTCGTGGAATATATTTTTCACTAGTGTGTTTTTCATATCACTGGGGTGAAACTCCATTATAATAAATATTAATGATATATTCACATCAAATACACGATACAGTAATATAGGTATATATTACCTCTATCTGATCATATAAAATAGTTTGATTTTTCAAAACCTATTCGGTTTACGTTCAATCTTTCTCGCTAACATTTTACTTAGCGGTTTTAACAAAATACTCCAAAAAATTAATGTTATACCCGGTTTGTTTGAGCAGTAACAGCTTAAATTGACCTGGAAATACTATAGTTACTTTTCAACATTCGGTTCACTTCATCGTCCTCATTCTTGCCCGACAAGTTTATTTTTTACGAATTTTCGTTAAGCCACGGTGTTGATGAAATAAAAAAAATTACTGTTTTACTCAGTTTATTTGAATGTCTATGAGTTTAGTGTAAACAAGCACATGCGCAATGATAATGTGCGTATGGAGAGGAAATTAATTTGACTTGAAAATGCTGCACTCACCAAATTAAGTGCTTCCTTGCCAGCCGCGGCAACAAAGGGGTAGTTCCGGGAGTCGGGACCATTGAGCATAGACGACGGCAACGGCACGAGGAGTCGCAACTGAACGTAATATATAAATTAGTCTTATCATGATATCCATATGGTGTTATTATCAGAAATATACATAGTAGTTATCATCATTAAGATGAAATATAACTATGTATTAGAGTTTCACCCTAGTGATATGAAGAACACTAGTGAAAAACATATTTTACGACTACTGCATATCACCGCGAATATCGCTTTTTCACCGAGTTTTACGCCATTTCACGTGAAACTCCATCAAACAGTAATAACAGGCTATAATATCAATCATATAGTTAAATAGAAATAAAATATGATATGATGAAATATAATAATATCAAGAGCTCGTTGTAACATAAATTCATCCGATCGTCGTGCCAGGTACTCTAATGTGAATAGCGCACGCCCTTGACGGCCGCTGATTGAAAATTGATTCTCCAAATTCTTATGTTTTGAATTCAACTGTGACAATTTACAAATTCGGGGTGATGTAGGCAGACGGAATTGGGGTTCCGAGAGATAGATAAAAGACTATAAAGTCCTCAGCGTTATAAGGACTCATAGAAGAGTGCGTCACAGTTGCCAAGTAAATCACCCAGGAACCTCTTACATTCTCGGGAGAAAACTCCTTATAAATTTTTTATCGAGCCCTGGGGATCATCAGGAAACCTATAATGTTCCCGAGAGGCGAAACTCATTTTGAATTTTCCACGGATGGCTAGGAACACATTCTTCAATCAGTTTCCCATGTAAATGTCATCATCACATTAGCAACACGTTATCCCACCAAGCTGTATGAATATCAACTTCTACCCAAAAATTGTCTCCAAAGATCTCCCTGATGTTGGTCAAGATCGACCCCGAATCGTAAAACCGAGGCCCTATAGGGCACCACGTCTTCGGCGCGATTTCCAAAAACCTAACAAGTTGATTTAGTCTTTCCAAGAGTAGCCATCTCACTCAGCCTTATATGGACGTTTCTCAAGGAAAGTTACATTTCGCATGATCTGACCACACTGCCCCCAAAACATAAAGGCCAGGGCTATCAGAGCCCCAAAGGTCGCCAGTAGCATCAGAGTAGCCCCGCCGGCACAGGACTGAGTATCAACGCAGAAACTTACAGTGAGAACAACAACCAAACCGTTATTATGCAAAGTAATATTTTCAACACCTCCGAAAGCCAACTTTGAGTAATATCAACATGATAACAATGTGAATCGATTGACACCAACGTTTTAGAAGCGTTCCGTAGTCTATATTCGTATTACTCTCGAATTGAAGAAAGCCATCTCGAAAATCTACATATGCATAACTGTTTGCTTCGCACTGCACAGCATTTCCAGAACAATTTAATTTTCTACCCATTTCGTTAATTCGCGCACGTCCTCGGTATATTTGGATCCCCTAGCCGTGTTGGAGTATAAAAATATGTTCGTTTTCCTCAGCTGAGCTCAGGAGCTTCCTCACTAATTATGAAACTTCCCATACAAATTCGGATAGAAATTTCCTCAGAATTTTCATATTTTTCCCCCAAACTTACTGGAATTATGGTATTTAAGTGCACATAGAGACCGAGGGGCAGAGCAAAGTGACCATACGTTACATACTGCCAAGTGCTGAGCTTAACCCCTAGGAAAAGATTGGGGAACCCCTCCTTAAGAAGGACGGTCGACCAGATCATGTATCTCGATGGGAAAATAATAAATTGGAGTTTCACCCGTTTAACGTGAAGTGGTGTAATACTCTGTGAAAAACGCGATATTCGCGGCGATATGCAGTAGTCGTGAAATATGTTGTTTCACTAGTGCTTTTCATATCACTAGGGTGAACCTCCATTGATGAGAAGACACTTACTGTGCAAAGTGTGATACTCCGTGAAAAACGCGATATTCGCAGTAGTCGTGAACTATGTTTTTTCACTAGCGTTTTTCATATCACTAGGGTGAAACTCCACTGATGAGAGAACACTTACTGTGCATAGACGCAAGCTGCCGAGCCAAATATGAACACCAATATGAACGACCCCTGATTGCGAGCGCCAACGCAGTTTCCTGAAGAGCATCGCTACTAAAACAGCCGACTAACTCTCCGTGATGTATTAGAGAACCGCTACCCTCGAAATGCGAGGAAAACATGCACATGTGTTGGTGACAGTGTCAGCAAATTCGTGTTGGTTTCTGTACACTTCTACCCAGATTCGTATGTAAACTACCAAAATCAGTGAGGACACTCCTGAACTCTGCTGAAAAAAGCCAACATATATTCCTCCAACAGTAGTTTTTACTATGGAATTTTATTTTCAAATATTATACAAAATGCCGATACACACCTATACTCATTAGAGATGTGCTTTGTTCACTGACTTAGAGGAAAGGCAGTGTGGGAGGGAAATATGCACATGGTCAACTACATGTGTTGGTGACAATATAAATTCTTAAAAATTTCCCATTGGTTTCTATACACTTCTACCCGAATTCACATATGTAAACTTCTATCATCCATTTAAAACCGACACTGTTGCTGAGCTACTCCACTGCAACTTGAAAGTGCACTCAGACGCACGGCAGTGTGGGAGAAAAAAATACGCACATGGTCAACTACACGTACTAGTAACAATATAAAACCTGGGAAATTTCCTATTGCTTCCTATACACTTCTACACAAACTCATATATATAAACTTCTATGATTAATTAAAAACCAACATTGTCGCTGAGCTACACCGCTGTAACTTAAACGTAAACTCCGACGCACGGCAGTGTGGTGGGAAAACATGCACATGGTCAACTACATGTGTTGGTGACAATATGAAAATTCATATCGATTTCTGTACACTTCTAGCCGAATTTTTCTAGTGAAAAGAAAACTCTCTAACTCTGCTGAGTCGAAAGCGAATATATATTCCTCCAACACTGTTGCTGAACTACCCTGCTGTAACACTCAGAAGTTTCCTTAGGCAGTGTGGGAGAAAAATATGCGCATGGTTAACTACATGTACTAGTAACAATATAAAACCTGGAGAATTTCCCATTGCTTTCTATACACTTCCACACGCATGAACTTTTCGAAATAAATATTCCTCCAACACTGTTGCTGAGCTCACCGGTGACATCACAGTGATGGTCCATTCGATCTACACATCGTTTACACTTGGAACAATGATGAGCACGTGGTGGTTTGTAACTGACAAGTGACCATTTCAACGGCCAGTGTCTTTGCTTTCCTCAGCTCAGGAGTTTCCTCAGTAATTATAGAAGTTTATATACAAATTCGGGTAGAAATGTGCAGCAGTCAACAGTAATCTCCCAAAATTTCCCTCGGAATTTCCATATTGTCATCAACAGGGTTGTCGCTAGACGTAAAGTCTTACGCCTTAGGCGTATGTGTTAGAGACTTCCTAGTCAGTG